TCCCCCGATTTAAAACAAACACACCAATCCAAAGTAGGGAATTCCGTGCCCCCGCCCCACCGTATATAGACTCTACGCGTAGCCAGAGGCGCAGGAGAAAAGTCCTGCCCTTCCTCTCCCAAAGAATGTGCCAGCCCGGTGTCCGCAGTGCTGGAGACAAGTTCAGGTGTAAGTGCGGCGGAAGGGAGGGCGCTCTGTGGACAGCGGCACGTGGAACTTTTTGCATCCCTCCCGAAACCCTGGCAGAGTAGCCGCCAGGAAGGCTTGTGAGGATCGCTCTGGGATGCAGGGATGAGTAACTGGAGGTGGGCATAAAAGAGCAAAGGCGGGAGTTTCAGCGATCACTGGATCTGTGCAGCAGAGGGAGGAGAAGGAAATTTGGCGCAGTTGGAGCGGGCGAGCTCCAAAGTCTGGCCAGGCGGTCAGGCGATCTTCTTAGGGCAAGTGAATAAAATGAGCATCCTTAAACGACGAAATCACGGGCTCCTTTCTCATAGGCTATGCCGTGCGGTGCTCGGGGAGAGGGGTCATGAGTTGCTGCTTTGAAACTTTTGGTAAATTGGACTTCTGGTGTCTAGGAGGTGGAGACAGTTATTTAATTCCTCAGCGTTTAATCCTTTCATTGCCAGCAAACTTTAAAAGGTTTTCCAACTAGATTCCTGGGGAGGGGGACATTGCAAGTTGCACAGTTTAAGGGCTTAAGGGACAGGAGAAATGACTGCTGTCTAGGAAATGCAAAATGTGCTCAGTTTTTTTTGTTTTTTTGTTGTTTTTTTTAAGAGAAAATCAAAGTAACGCCAGCATGAATGTTTGGCAATGCTAGTCCCTTTTTATTTTTCTTTAGGATTCCTGGCATTTAGTACTGGGTTCCTTTGTTTTGTGGAGCAAATGTGTTGAAAAATGAAAAATTTAAAAAGGAATACTGGTCTCTTTATTATATGTGAAAAGTAATGAAAGTGTGATGAGATGCTTCAAAATCTGATCATGTGCAAGGTTTTACTGCCCAAATATGTGAAGCAGGGTGATGTAGCTTCTTGATAGCTCTAGGCAGTGTATCATTGTGTCTTGTTTCAAGCTTTTAACAGATTTCTCAGGTAGAGGAGGGAAGACCCTCGTCCCGTTTCTGAGAATTTACCCAAAAAAGGTTTTTCCCAGGTGTTGGTGTTCAAAATTCTTAGGATAAGTTCATTTTGTGATGTGAGTGGGGGTAAACATAGCATTTTAAAAAATAGCTTTTTATTGACTTGTCTGTAAAGGTTCCTGTGAAAGTTTTGAAGCTCTCTGCCTCAGTCTGACATTTTCTTCAAAGGACTCCAGATTAAAGAAGATAGACACTGCAGGTGCACTGTTTTGATAAAACATTTGAAAGAGAACATGGTTAAGATGAATTCAAATGAGGTGCCAGCCACCCATTTAGCCATTCAGAGTGATAGGGGCCTGTGCTTGCTGATGAAAAGATGTTCTGTTTGTCTTGCTGGGGCAAAGGTGCAGAGAGGCACAGATGTTCACTTGATAAAAAAGGCAACCCTACGTTGACTTTAGGAGTGTGAATTGATCACCTTCTAAGTCCTGTCTCTTCTAGGCTTCCAATGGCAGGGTCTAATGCTCACTCCTATAAGTCATGGCATAGATATTTACATAATGGGTGTGTATATTTTATTCCTTCTAGGCTTCCAATGGCAGGGTCTAATGCTAACTCCTATAAGTCATGGCATAGAGGCATAGATATTTACATAATGGGTGTGTATATTTTATTTTAATTAGTGAGTTTGTTCCAGAAATATTTAAATTGTTTCTGGCACTGAGGGGCAAGGATTGTTACTGAGAGGTCACCATGGTCTAGACATGAATTTTGTTTCCTTCGCTTCTTGATGTTCTGTATTTCACACAATAGACATTGATGGCAGGAACATGAGAATTGCCATGCAGTTTTTACATCACTCTCTAATTGTGCTAACACTTTAAGTTCTCGCAGCCTGGAAATGTGTGTGTGTGTGTGTTTTCCTCTGTGCTTTGATGGCTAACATTCTTGCTAATGGCAGTCATTTCTATAACAGGAAGATGTTTTCATTTGTATTTACTTTTCAGCATGGCACAATTATGCAGTTTTGCGCTTCAGTACTGTCTCGGTACTTTGTGTCTCAAAAGAGAATTACAGTACTTAGAACAGGACTGCAATTTGAAGCAGGTGTTGTGTTTTACTGTTCTGCAAAATAACAGTAAAATATAATTGTGGGGGAAATTAAGGAAACAGCTGCAAACTTGGTATGAAAACTGCTACATTATGATTCGTAAGCAGTTCTTATAGATATCTTACATCAGAGGGGCAGGGAAAGACTTTAATTTCGTTAATCCTACTGGCCTGCTTGTCTATCAACTGGTGCTTAAAGGACTCATACCTCCCATGAAGTCAGGAATAAGAAAGAGAACCCAAAGGGATACTGTTTAAAATGCCAGCGTACCAGGGATTCCTCTCTGGGCAGTGCCTTTGGACATTAGGAACGCAGGCAAGGTTGGGTGTTGTTCAACTCGCTTTGCTAAGATGAACAAGGCAATGAATGACTTGAGTGGAACGCTGTGGAATTTCTCAGCCCAGCTAGCATATGGAGGACTACACAAGCCCCGGGTTGCAAAATAATAAAATAAATGGCCTATAGCAGGCCATCTGCCTTTTGCTTGATATTTAAGGTGCTTCATGCCAAATTTAAATCTAATCTTATTATTCTACATATTTTGATTTGAGCGAGCAGCTAAGACTCAGAAGCTTAATGGTGCACAATGGCAAACGGATTCGGATGTGGAGCACTTAGCGTAAGAGCGTGGGTTACCCAAGGGTTACCCGAGGACTGTGCTGCCCGCCACTGCTCCTCTACTGCACTGATCACTGAAAACAGCCTCCACGCAGGGCTGTGCTTTCCTCAGTCTTTGCACACCTGCTATGAAAGTAAACATCCTCATTTCTGAACCCAGTGCAGCAAATCATATATTGACATTTAAAAGAAGATTCAAAACTAGTGGAAAGGTTAAAAAAAAAAGTATGAAATTAATTACTGAGAATTATGCAGCAACAAGCAGGAACGAGGCAGGTGGGGGATGTAATGGTCCCCCTCCTTTAGTGCTCCCTCCCGCCTGGAGGAGGGATGGTAATGAATGCATCCAAAGCGGTGGTCCAAGCCTGGATGTTGTTTGCCTTTCCCCCAAGTGACCGCAGTCTTTAGAGGCATGATGTTCGATTCAGCATGAAGGATTTGCTTTACCTAAAGTTCTTTGCAGGAGTTGAATGCATATGTATAGTAGGCATTGAGTACCTATGTATTTTGGGAGCTACCTCGTAAAAGAAAAAAAAAATATGTTTAACGTGTGCATATATGATGCGTGTAGTACAGGTACACACAGGTATTGTTATGAGCACAGCTTCTTAAACTTACACATGTTGTTGCATGTTACGGCTGTGTTAAGCATTGAGATTTCAAATTATTATATGACACCAACTTTGTACGGACCCGATATTCCAATTAGCAGGAAGAGTCTCCCACTTCGAGCACAAACCATTTATAGTTAGACTCCATGGCAACTGGGGATATGGCCCTTCTGTAATTCATGTTAAGTGCCATAATTATAATTAAAGAGGAAATCTTCGTTTGAACACCATTGAAATGATTTGCTAGCAGCCAGTGGTGTCACATGGAGTGCAATGTCCACTCTAAAGTGCTCGCAGGATAGAGAGTTGGAAGAGGTGGTATCCACGAGACAGCAATACATATTGAGATTTTTTTCTGGAACCAATTTCATGTCCGGGTGTTACAGTTGAACACCCTCTTTTTCTTTGTTCTCATTTTATAATTTTTTTCCCCAGAAACGCACAGCAGTATTGATGAGTAGATCCTTGGGTTCAGAGGTTGGCTGAAGCGCACCATGCCTGCTTCCATCCTTCGCTCCGGAAAGTTGTGAATTGCTCATGCCTATAGAGAGGAAGGATGGCACATGGGATTCCTTCTCAAGGCAAAGTTACCATATCGGTGGATGAATACAGCTCTAACCCCACCCAGGCATTCACGCACTACAACATCAACCAGAGCAGATTCCAGCCGCCACATGTACATATGTAAGTATCGCTCATGAACTTTTAAAAACTAGCAATCAAGAAAATAGACATAAAATAAGAAAGTCATTGATGACTTCTGCCGGGGAGAATAAAAGACCTATGATTCGCAAAACAGATGCTTATCTGTGGTCCTCACTATTGCTTGGAGGAATACCCTACATCTGTTTAACACCTCAGAGTGTCAGAGTACTTTCAATTTGATTTTCAGAGCCTCTCTTGGGTGGTGGTAGGTCGCCCAAGTTTTATGGATAACATCAGAGAGGTTAAGGTATTTGCCTAACGTCACACAGTGAATTTTGGCAGAGTCGCCTCCTGATCCCCTAGCTCAGTTTGCTTTACATTGTATTGCTTGTCTCCATGAGGAAATATTTCTTGAAAATTTCTAGTTTCCCCCCTCACCTCACCTTACTACCCCTTTACATTCAGCTGGGAAATAGGTCTAATCAGGACTAATTGTTCAGCCCCCGCCAAATCCGCTGCCTTGCCTGTTGCTAGTGGAAAGTGTACTGCATGTGCACCACTCAAACAGGGAACAAAGGTCTAAGGGACAGTGGAGCACTTGGTTCCAGGAATTGTACTTTTCTCCCACTCCCTAATACTGTTTAAATCAAGTGCGGTTTAAACTGTTTCAGGAACAAAGTGTGGGAGAAATCAAGAGGGAGGATTTTGCAGCACCTGGATGCACACCAGCTTTTTTCTGTTCCTCTGCCACACAGGATGTGCGGGGCTTTCAGCAGATGGGGCAAAAGGTCGCCATCTCCCTTGTTTATTCAAGGCCTGGTGCTCATTCTCTATGAGACCCTTCCAATGGCTAACATGCGTCTTTCATAGTAGGACTAAACCTCTTTGAAAACTATTGTATAGTCGAGAGAGAAAGGAGGTTAGAGCTCTGTTGACTGTTTTTGCCATCCCTGGCAAAATTGAACTCAGGGCATATCTAAGTCACAAGCTCTTTTTGTTTTTTTAGTAATTGTTTTATTTGGGCATTTAAAAAAATAGTGGGACTGCCCTCCCTCAACACACACACACGCACACACACACACTCAAATTTAGAAACACTAACCAAACAAGATCTTTTTTTTGACTATTTGGATATTAGTGTATAATAGGATGTTACTTTGCAAATATATCCAGTAGAACCACTCAATTTCCATGTGATGGGATTTCTAACAAAAAAGAGAAAGAAATCCTTGTAAATGGTTTGTATGCTAAACTATTTCTGAGAATTTTATACTTGCTTAAAATCAGAATATATTCATGATTATGAAGTATTACTAGCATGACTTTAAGGAAAAGTTTTAAGGTAAATCATATTTTTTTTTTGTTAAAATGGTTTTTCCGAATGATAACTATGTATTCACTTCAAGATTTCTTTTATTCTCCTATTTCTAATAATTTCTTTTTTTTCAAATCCTAGTATGTGACAGGATTTGTGGACGTAGGATACTTTAGCTCTGTTTTGCTGGGGTGACATTTTGCATTAAAGAATTGCAAAATACTTTCTGGATTCTGTTCCCTTTTAGGCAAAAGAAAGTATGTTTTGGCCTAGATTCTGGGAAAATGACTGACAGGGAATCTCAGCTTAGTCTTCACTTGTTGGTTGCCATGAGATTCCACTCCTGAACTGTGGATACACAGAGATGTTTAAAGGTCATTTAACCTTAGAACTGATCTGCTTAGATCTAGCCATGAAACATTCGAAGGACCAGATTATACCTTTTTTGAAAAAAAGGCTTGACAAATGGGGTTTGTAATGGTAGCCTAGACATCCGGGGAGCCCTTTTTCCAGATTGCCTTCCTACCTTGGAGTAGAGGATTCTTCCATGGTCTGGGTCCAGCTTGCCTTTTCATCTTTATCACCCACTGAGGGCTTCCTACCTGGACCCTTTGCTTCAGCCATACAAGTTGGTTCACTGTCACCTGAGCACACCCTGAGCCTTTCCATCTTGGTGCCCTGCTCAGCTCATCAAATGCCTCAGAGCCCATTCAGGCTCCTCTACATCTATGAAACCTCTTCTGTCTCTCCCAGTCCGAACTGAACTGACTGTGCATTCCCTGCCCCCACACATGATGCCCCTAGTCATCTGGCATGTACTTCAGTACTAACTCCATTATTACAGTTCTCTCTCTCTCTCTCTCTCTCTCTCTCTCTCTCTCATTTATTTCTTAAAGGCAGGGATCGAGTAGGTAACAGGTATTCAAGAAATACTGATTGATTGCTCAATCCATCCATTGATTTGATTGTGCATTGAGATAAGAAATTAATGTTTGAGATTTGGAGATTTTCATTGGAATTTTTCTGAGCTGTTTTAACATCATGAATGTTTGAATGATGGTGTATCCTGTTTTCAAGATGTTGACCCGCCTTTTCCTTGCCTTTACTTTTTCATGTTTCATACCTTGACACAGTGACTGGTTCATACTAGGCATCCAAATATCTTGGTGAAATGTGCTAATGTTACTTTCCATTATTTTTTTAAAAGATTGCCCTTACTCCAAATAGAAACTTAAATTGGCTGGAAAATATCCATACAATATTTAGTTTTTCTTCAGTTTTTTGTGTTTTTTCTTTTTTTTCTTCTTTTTTTGTGAAATTTTTAACATGTCATATAGGGCTTTGCTCCTCTCCCTGAAGATATGTTGTCTTTTCCACTTGAAATGTTACTCATTTATTTTGCATGGGATTCTTAAAACACTTGTTTTCCTTTTTCACTTACAATTGAGGCCTATGAAGACTCATGACAGATCACCCGGATTGGAGTTGCAATCTTGCTTCCTTAAATGATCCGTGGTTTTCTTTCATGCAGCCTTGTTGGGGTTTTCTCACCATAATTAAGGACTACTAGTAGTTCACTTCCCATTTAATTCAGTTAGTCTCATCTCAGCCTTGTGACCTCCCTTGGTCAACTTACTTCCTTTCTCCAGGCCTCAGTCTACTCATCTGTGAACATTTGTACTAAATGGTAGTTATGGATCTTTTAGCTCTGACATCCTAAGATGAAGATGGCAACCAAGACAATATTTATTTGCAAGGTGTTGCTTTGGGAGGACACAGAAACATAAGACCTGCTCCCATCTTCATGAAGTCCATCATGATTTCAGAGCTGTTGTTCAACTGGGTTTAAGAAGTTTACTGCTTGGTCTTGGTTTGCTGTTACCTGTGAGTTCTGATGAGGCTGCCACCAAGCTTTCTAAAAAACCACTGGCCTGCATCTCTGTGACGTAGAGAAGTTTTTTAAAAAAATATTTTTTAATTATTTCAGAGAGGAAGGGAGAGGGATAAAGAGAGAGAAACATTAATGATGCAAAGAGTCATTGAACGGCTGCCTCTCGCATGCCTCACACTGGGGATCGAACTCACAACCCCAGGCATGTGCCCTGACTGGGAATCGAACTGTGATCTCCTAGTTCATAGGTTGATGCTCAACCACTGAGCCATGCTGGCCAGGCAGGAAGATTTTTTTTTTAAAGAAAGCAATCCAATGTGACCTTGGGAAAGAAAATTAAAACACAGCTGGAGTTGGCAGGGCAGAATTTAACCCAGAATTTGTGTGCCCCTCTTCCCAGACTCTTGAACACACTAATAGATGTGCTGATTGAAAACCAACAATTAATAGGGCTTTATTTTTCTATAACCCTTTCATCTTTCCCAAGAAGACTGTTGAGAGAATTATTTAGTATTTAATGATGGTGGGAGGAGCTGCTAAAGGAACCAATGTAGGTTTGAAAGCACTGTAATGATTTTGTATGTTTTTAATTATCTGAGGCCTTATAAAATACTAGGGGCCCAGTGCACAAATTTGTGCACCTTGAAAGGAACTGTGGGCCTCGAGGCTGCAATGGGCACAGGGGAGGGTCTCGGCCCATCCTCTATGCCCCCATCTGGTCCCTCCTGCCATGGTCCCCAACCCCCTGTCTGCCGGCAGCCCTGATCCCACCGCCACCGCTCCCACACGCTGATGGCACAGAGAGATTAGGGCTGGTGCCAGCAGCGAATGCGAGCGGGGCTGGCCCTGATCACCCCTCAGGAGCAGAGGACGTGAAGAAGCCCTGAGGGGTGATCGGGAATGCCAGCCGCTGCTTGCACCCACTGATAGTGCCAAGCGATTAGGGCTGGTGCCAGGCGCTGGCAGTGGGTGCGAGCCGTGGCTCCAGTGCCGGCAGCGGGTGTGAGAGGCGGCTACCAGCCCCAATTGCCCATCAGGAGCAGGGGGAGGTGGAGAAACCCTGAGGGGCATTTGGGGCCAGCAGCTGCTGCTTGCACCTGCTGACTGTGCCGAGCGATCTGGGCCAGCGCTAGACACTGGCAGCGGGTGCAAGCGGTGACTCTGGCGCTGGCAGCAGGTGTGAGCACCAGGCAGGACTGCGGCGCGCAGGAGCAAAGAATTTTCAATAACCACCAGAGGCTCGCCCTGATGACAGCGACTGGCACTGCGTCTTGGTCTGGTGCTCCTGCTCACCTGCTCCACCATCCTGCTGTGGCCAATGCCTGCCATGTTCTGCGCTCTGCCACCTGCTGCTGATGCCCGCCATGTTCCACGCATGCCCCCTGGTGGTTAGAGCACGTCATAGTGACCAGTTGTTCGGTTGTTCCACCGTTTGATCTATTTGCATATTAGGGTTTTTTATATATACTACAGGCCCGGTGCACAAAATTCATGCATGGGTGTGGTCCCTAGGCCTGGCCAGTGATCAGGGCCAATCAGGTTCCCCGCCTTCTCGCCTTGCCCCCTCCTTCCCTCTCTATGGTTCCCCATCCCAGCCCGGAGGCCTGTGGGCTGAGGGCAACTCCTGCATTGAGCATCTGCCCACTGGTGGTCAGTGCGTGTCATAGCGACTGGTCGTTTTGTCGTAATGGTTGCTTAGGCTTTTATATATAGAGATAGATTCAGGACTTTTTAGTAGAGTGTCCAACCATCTCAGTTTTTGCACTAAAAGTCCTGTGTTTTGAGAGACCATTAGTCACACACTAACCAGGATGGTTGGTCACTTGCTTAATT